CTTTTTAATGGACCATATTTTGAAGATCAATGACCTTGGTCCTTATGGTAAGCTATCATCAACAGACACACATTTCAGTTTCATAGGAACTGAGATGGACACAATTTGAGTCTCTAGTAAGGCAAGAAACTCATGTTAATAACAAACCGTTGTAGCAAGGAAGCATAATGACTGCTCTCAAGGATGCTGAGCTGACAGCCTTACTGGAAGAATAATGGATTGCTATAAGCAAAACTACCTGATCACACAGAACTTAACACCATTAAAAGCTCCCAGTATCCTCACCAAAATATTACTAGCTTCCACCCTCCTGCACAATAGAGCATTTCTGCAAGCACCAGGGACCTGCACCTGCAGAAAATCCACAGTCATCAGGTAATTGCTAGCCCTCGATTTCAGGGTTGTTATTCCATTTTCATGTTCCAGTTCTGACCCTTCCCACTGCAAGTCCTTCCTCAAGAACCTGCCAAGCACTATGTGACTTTGAGAGATGGAGGAACCAACAGCAAATGATTCACAAAGCAATTAATTTGATAAGGAAGAGTTATCAGGAACTCTCCCAAACTTACTTATCACAATGGAAACAATTCCCAATGACAGTCTTTGAAAAGTTGAGTTTTCTTTCACTTAATCTAAAACTATGAATTAACTAAACTAAATACTAAAGTAAGACTTATTAAAAAAAAGCAGTTGGTGACAAAGCAACTCATACAAAGGAACAGTTCATTCAATACTGAAATTGGAATAAAATAAAATAAAATAAAATAAAATTCTTGGTTAAACAAGTTCACTGACTTTGGGTGCCCCAGTTTTTAACTACTCTGCTCGGTATACTTTCTATCTGACTTTCACAGATTATGTGGGAGAAGAGCTCACACTAGTACCAACAGAATTTGCAAAATCAACTAGATATAAATCAAGGCTATTGAAAATTAGCAGGCACTAAAACTGATGGTGACAATACCAACTCTACAGTTAAAAGCTGGTGGAAATTATAAAGAAAATTTAAGAAAAAATAAGACTGTTTCTCTTGTTTCATACCTTACCCACACTAATTGATCTGGAACAAGAAATATTTGTGAAAATGCAACATTAAATATATATTAATCCTTTTCTGTTAAAAATTCAAGAAATACCATTTTTATTAAGATTGACCTATCGCCCATTCTTTTTTTCTTTTTTTTCTCTCTCTCTACCATAACTAAAGGTTAGTTTCCATGAACATTAAATCTCACATTCAGATAGACAGCTTCTTGGATACATGCAACTAACTTCATGGATTTCAAAGCCAATGAGAGATGATGATACCTCATAAATAAATTTACCGGAAAAATTGCAGTATTTGTCTTTTCACATAGATCAACATGCCCTATTACCAATGCAGCAATGAAAAAAAAAAATCATTGGCAGCACACCAGAGTTGAAAACTATACTAAAGCGAATAGTACACAGCTATGCTACCAAGTTTCACCCAAGCCCTCAGACTCTGTTTTAAATTACCCTTAGTTTTAATTACATTAGTCAGCAAAAACTCACACCCATCAGATTTGGCTTTCCAAAATACTAGCAGACTCACACAAACGTGCCAGGAGATAAGGAGAATTAACAGGGACACAGAAGATGATTCTTCCTCTCTTCCCTACAACCTGAGACGTATGTGATAAAGGAAAGATCTAGAAACAGGTTTATGTAGAAAGACCGAGACACAAAAACTTGAAAGTTAAATGTGGTGATATGTGAAGATACAGAAAGCCAACTTAGTGCTACAGATCACATGTCTGTTAAGGTCTTCCCACAGCTTAAGAAGTGTCAAATTTAACCTGGAAAGCTGATAATGACAAAAGCTTAAATGATAAACACAAAATACAACAGAAGTAGCTTACAGTCCTGCAAAAAACCCAGCTGCCTTTGTGCTCCTTTCATTTTCTAGGTACCTTTTAAAAAGGCATCTAAAACCAATCTATGAGGTAATGTAGAGAGAACTGTAATAGATTGGTGTGACTGGAGAAGGAAAGGGAGTGCCTTAGTGTGGAGGCACCAATACAACAGAGAGCAGGAACAGGGCTCTCAAAAGGTCTAGTGTTAAGGGCATCCTCGTTAGCAGGTCAGTAAGGCCCCAGCACACCCCCCTGCAATTTCAGAAGACACCCAGATCTGGAGACAAAGAACATCGATAAGACAGAGTAGAGACTCAGAGCACTGTCACCTCCAAAAGGGTACACTAAGGCGAATGGAGCATGGTTGTCAACCTAAAGAGGCAAGGACCTGCCAGCTGATGTCGCTTGTCCTCTACATGGGGTCCTGGACTTAGCTCCGGGGTGAGAGCTACACTGCGCCGCACTGCTGGACACACAGCTCCAACAGCCCTGCTGTGGTGCTTGGCTGCTGGGCAGACGTCGCAGGCACTGTTCACCTTCTGCCACTTTGGAGACCCCAAGCCTGAGTGGTTTGTTTTGCTTTACATTTTAAATAAAACCACCTTCCTCTCCTGTGAGGTTGCCAATAGATATTTCCTACGCTGTTGGTGCAGCAGCAGAGAAAACAGGGAAGACTCTTGTACAGCTGAGCTTTCTACTCCATGATACACATACCGTAATAATGTGCTCCTTGAATACTGTTCAGGCAAAGCAACATCCCTTCCTCCACATTCTATTTTAGAGAAATCCTCCTTTTTTTTTTTAAAAAAAAATCCTTCAAAGACTGCGCAGGCCCTTGCATCTTGCATTCACATAACCTCCGGCATATCAAGATTGGTTTCAAACACTGTTCCTTTTCTACGTTTTTAAGAATGAACGTGGGAGGTGTTCAAGAGATGCTCCAGACTTCACAGACTCGGTCAGAATTTTTAGCCTTACTTGGCCCACCATTTTTGACACCCCTCAATGACAGGTCACCATCATATGATGCATAGCCTGTTCATGCAAATTTTCAACACTGCAGACTCACAGCAATGTTGGCAAGACTGTAAAACAGTACATGTAATTGATTTGACATATACCGGGGTAACAGAAAACTATTTTTTTTTGGTTTTTTTTTTTCCTAAGATACTACTTCTCTGTGCATTCAGAACAATTAAGAATAAATATTACTTCAAATGAATGTACTTACTGCTAAAATAGTGTTACAACTTCATATGAAAGAAAGTTGATTGCTTACTATTCTTTTAATGATAATACAAAGCACAATTACCTTTATATGTAATATGCCAAAGGCAAATCCCCTGGCATATTTTAACAATTCATACAGACATGTATAAGCAGGAATATTCATCAGTAGCAGCATACTGTGCCTTAATGTTGCTCATAAGCTGCTATTACTGTTACTACATGAATAATATAGTGCATGAAATTGGTAAAACGTACCTTAGGAAATCTGTCTCATAAGCAGCTACTGCTTCCGGAACTAGTTGTGACGAACACACCTAGCAAATTTATTTGTAGTTATTTCACCAGTTACAAACAACTACTTCATTATTAGATCATACAAGATAACATCCCACATGTCCCCAAGATCTAAAGCTGTATTTCTCATTTAACCACTTCAATTTCTTGCATCGTTATCAGATGGAGAACATAAGGAATCTCATGCTAGTGACAGTAATCCTTTTCCTTTCAGTAAGAAGTACCCCCGTTTGTTTGTTTGTTTGTTTGTTTTTTAATTTAAACAAAGTACCATGTTGCACAAAATACCTCTAATAATTCTTAAAAATTCAGGGCATACCTGACCTGCAAGTTACTAACACGGAAAGGAGAATGTTTTTTACTAAGTTTCACATGTTTCATTGTGTGTAAAGTCGTTTTCACCTTATTCTCAACAATCACATGAATTCATAAGGCTACAGTCAATTCAACTGTAATCTCTTCACTCTCCGTAAAACTTAATTTTGCACTGTAAGTTACTCGTACGTTCTGGTTTTGTAAAATGACTGGGAAACCATCCCTTTTGTGCACTCCTGTGCCAGTATGACATAAAGACACCAGAAAAGGATATAACTGTTCAGATCAGCAAAATCCACCTAGCAAACATATTTTACGAATAACAAGAAGAGTAACTGTAACCAGCGCTATGCTTGTACCCGGAGATGAAAGGGCTCATTTCGGGTGGTACGGCTTGGTTTCTCCTCTCCACGTACGCCGTCGGCTGCAGCTGCTCACCCAAAGTCCGCTCCCGGCGGTTCCCAACTCGGCTGCAGGGTGTTGCTGTGCAGGGAACGGGCTCTCCCGCCCAGCCATCTGCTGCCGGCCGGAGGTGCGGCTCGCCCTCGCCCCCAGCTCCGAAGTTACTCGGACTTTTCAGGACGGCGGGCAGACGACCCTGCCCGCGCCCCGCCCCAGCAGGTCTCCCTGGAGGGCGCCGGTCGTCACCACACGGACACCACGCCTCGCCACCCCCCCACAACGCCGCTCAGGG